AAAAAAAGAAAACTTGAACATAACCTGAAGGTACAAGAATCCTAGAAGAAAACATAGGCATTGAGTTCCCTGACATTAGTTTTGGCACTGATATTTTGGATCTGATTGCAAAAGCAAAGAAAACAGAAGCAAAAATAAACAAGTGTGCCTACATCAAACTAAAAAGCTTTTGTAGAGCAAAGGAAACCGTTAACAAAATAAAAAGGCAACTTACTGAATGGAAGAAAATATTTGCAAATTACACTTCTAAAAAGGGATTAATAATCAAATATGTAAAGGATGCAGACAACTCAATAGCACAAAACAATCCACCTAAAAAAATATGGACAGAAAATCTGAATGTTTTTCCAAAGGAGACATAGCATTCAAGAGCTAACTGAAAAGCTACTCAAAACTGTTAATGTCAGGGAGATACAAGTCAAAACCACAATGAGCACACATCTCACATTTGTTAGAACAACTATTATCAAATAAGCAACAAATAGTAAATGTGTCAAGGATGCAGAGAAAAAGAATCATTCAGTGTTGAGAATGTAAACTTAGCTCATCACTGTGGAAAATGGTATGGTATGGCAGTCCCTCAAAAAATTAAAAATAGAGCTAGCATATGATCTAGGAGCTCCACTTCTGGGCATTTATCCAAAGAAAACAAAACACTAACTCAAAAGTATATGTGATCCCCATGTTCACTGCAGCATTATTTACAATAACCAAGACACAGAAACAGCCTATGTGTAGATTAATGGATGAATAAATACATTGGTGCATATATATATATATATTACATATCACAAAAAAATGAAGGGACATGCACACTAAGAAAGGGTAAAGGACTTGACAAACATTTCCCAAAGTAAACATAAAAACAACTCACTAGCCATTCAGGAAAAGCAAATCAAAACTATAATGAGATTATAATGAGATCTTGCTTCACAGCCACCAAGATAGTTGTAATTTTTTTTTTAAAGGAAAATAAGTCTTGGTGAGACGAAGAAGAAATTGGAATCTTTACATACAACCCTGTTTGGCGAGCAAAATGGTGTCACCACTGTGGAAAAGAGTTTGGTATTTTCTTTAAAAATTAAAGTGAATTAACTCATGACTCAGTAATTCGACTACTGGGTATATACCCAAAAGTATGGAAAACAGCTATTTAAATACAAACTTGTATGTGGATATTGCTATTTTTAAAAATATTTATGCATAACAGGGGTGATTTGGTGATGGGAAACCCGTGGGGATTACAATTGAGATGAAAAAAAAATGTGCAAAATGATGTAAAAATAAACTTTTTAATAAAAAAAAATGCAACTAAAAAAAAATATTTATGCATACAGAGCTGGGATATATGCCAGAGGTGCAGGGGAGGTGAGATTATTAACCAGAGACAGAGGGGAGCAGAACAGGCAGATCAACGAAGTACACTTCTGAGGGGAGCAGCGGACGGGTCAGGAGAGGTCTGCTGCGCCGTGTGGGTCACCTCTGGGGCGGGGACAGAACACGCACTGCGGTTGCAGCCAGCTTGCAGTGATGTGCTTTAACTTAACATTGCGTCACCAGGGAGGGCATTCCAGCCCCACCCCCACCCCGCCAACCCTTTTCTTTCACGAATGTTCATAGCACCACTCCTCACACTAGTTAAAGTGAAAACCACCTAAATGTCCATCATCAGGGAGAAAAAGAAGCTAACTACTGGGTGGAGGACCAAGAAGTTGCCTCTTAATATTTTTATGTGCAATAACACTTGAGGACACTTCACAAGAAGGTTTGGATCCCTCCACCAGATAAATGAATCCCAACCAGAAGCTCTTCCTGAGGACAGAAAATATAGAATGAATAGGAGAAGGAAGCCACAAGTATCTGCTGCAGCCTTGTGACCAACTGCACACTATAACTTTTCTCCTCGCTTGCTATTTGTGTTTGCTAACCAATTTCTCCTCTCTCCTCTTCCCCATTATGTTATATACGGGTTGTTGAAAGGTAAGTATCCGTAAATCTAGTAATAATCTGTAAGAGAGCTTATTAAATTAAAAAATAGAATTCTTTTTCAAGATTCAAATGTGTGTAGAAAATTGTACATGAGGCTGGTAGCCAAAGCAGTGGAATGTGACATTTATCAATTTGCCTCTCAGTTTCAAGTCCATCCTTTTCTTTTCTCTAAGAAAACGAGGAACGTGCTTTAGAATAATTTCCTTTAGGCCCTCCCTGGTGGTGCAGCAGGTTAAAGCACAGTACTGCCAGTGAGCTGCAGCCACTTCAGTGTGAGTTAATTCCCCAGCTCTGGAGGTGACCACATGGTGTGCAACAGACCTCTCCTGACCAGCCTGCTGCTCCCCTCAGCAGTGTGCTTCCTCTATCTACCTGTTCTGCTTTCCACTGTCTCTGGTGAATCCTCTCACCACCCCTGCACCTCTGGCCTGTACCCCAATTCTGTGTACAAAAATAAACAAATCTTTAAAAAAAATTCCTTTAAAATGCAAGTGGCCAACAAGTATATGAAAAAAATGCTCAATATCACTTACAATTAGAGACATGCAAATCAATACCAACCATACCAGTGATAATGGCCCATATTAAAAAAAAAAAAAACTGGCAAGGATGTGCAGGAAAAGGAACTCTTCTACATTGCTGGTGGAAATGCAAACCGTCCAACCACTATGAAAAACTGTGTGGAGGCTCCTCAAACTGCTAAAAATGAATCTTCCATATGACCCAGCAACTCCACTCCTGGGAATCTACCCAAGTGACACAAAAACAATCATTTGTAAGGAAAACTGCACCTCTATTATTATTGCATTACTATTTACAGTAGGTATGGAAACAACCAAAATGTCCAAAAACAGATAATTGGATCAAAAAGAAATGGTATATTCAATGGAATACTATTCATCAATCAAAAAAGATAAGCTCATTCCATTCACAGCAACATGGATGGTGCTGGAAGGGATTATGATCAGTTGAGATAAGTCAGAGGGAAAGAGAAAAATATTGGATAGTTTCACTTATAGAAGGAGCAAAGGAAAACCAAACAAGGGACTAGGGGAAAAAAGAGAGAAAACTAGCACGCAGACTATAAATCAAAGACTTACAATAGTAGAGGAGGAAGGCAAGGGATCAAAACAGGGGAGGGAAGAACACCAGAAACTATGGTGCTTGTTCATGGGTGACTTGATGGTGGAAACATTATGGGCTTACACCTGAGAGGAGAAATCAAACATTGTACAACAATGAACTATGATATAATATACATACATATATATATATATATAATTTAAAAAAATGCTTTCCTTTACCAGATGAAAATTTTAAGCTTCACCTACAGAGGGCACAATTAGTTTTCTGTGCCTTACAACAAATTACCATAAGCTTTTTAAAACTGAGGTTACATTGGTTTATAACACTATATGTGCTCAAAACACACCCTTATACCTCCTCATATGTAGGTTACCATACCACACCTGCCACACCAAGACACCCATAATCCTCTACCATAGTCCACTGCACCCCATCCACACTTAGTTCCACTCACTCCCTCTCCCCCTGGTGACCTTAATTCTATAGTGAGACTTCTGTTGTTTGCTATTGGATTGATTTTGGTTCAGCTTTCACTTAGTTTCCTTATATTCTCCATATCAGTGAAACTGATATTTGTTTTTCTCCTGATGGATAAGTTATTCCTCCAGTTTCATCCATGTAGACACAAATGGTTAAGTTGATCCTTTTCACTGCTGAGTAATATTCCACTGTCCATCTAGGCAATGTCTTACAATATCTATATACTACTCTGTCCTTGGACAGTTAGGATGTTTCTATAACTTGGCTATTGTGAACAGTGCTGTAGTGGACATAGGAAGACATATATATCCCTTTTAATTAGTTTTGTTTTTTTTTTTTGCATTCTTCAGGTAGAGGCCTAGGAGTAGAACTGGTGGATCATATGGTAGCTTTATTTTTAATATTTTGAGAAACCTGTGTACTTGAGAGCTTCCGTTCCTTCTGGCTAATGGTTGGATGCTGCTTCAAGTCCTAGAGGCCACCTGCATGTCCTTGCATAAGGCTCTCTCCTGGGCAGTTCACAACATAGCTGTCTGCTTCTTCCAGGCAGTAGGAGTCTCTGTCTCCAATCTGCTATGATGGAGTCTTACATAATGAACTATAACACTGGAGTCACATGCCATATTCAGTGTAAGGAGTGAAGTTACAAATCTCACCCACACTCACAGGGAGATTACGCGAGGGTGTGGATCACTTGGGGCCAGCGGGGAGTGTGTTCACAGCATTGTACCAATGCTGCAAAGGTCAGAGGTGATAGAATGCTCAGTTGGCAAGTTCCTCTAGCACACCTGTTTTCACCAACAGCCAGATTCTGCAGCCTGAACAACTTTTCTGTGCCGACAGTGTGGGACTCCCGTAAAGCAAGTAACTGCTTCTCTAGTGGCAGGCTCTGCAGTGCAGCAGCTCAAGCACCCAGCGCCGGCACTGTATGGGGTCAGCATCACACAGAGGCAAGCATCTTCCCCTGGAACAGCGTGTCCACTCAAGTCAGTGCTTGGGGCTTCTGTCTCAGCTGAAAACAGTGTGGATTCACCTGTGTCTGTTACTCCAGTCATTAGAGTATTCTTGCTGCTTATTAGCCAGCCCTCACTCCTCCAATTCCCTATCAGACCAATTTTGTGATAGCAATTTTTATAGTAGCACTTCCTTGTTGAAATTACTGTGTGCTATCTGTCTGCTGATTAGACTGACTCAGACCATTTCAGCTCAGTGTATCTAGGAACTTTATATCTACAATGGAAGGTCAGTCACTCACCTCTTTAATTTCTTTCAGGAGTTCAAGAGCACAACTGAAGTCAGGGGGAGTAGCTGATAATTGCTCTTTGAGGTGGTCCCAAAAGGCATTGTGCATTGTCTCCTTGACCTTGTTTTCCAGACTGCAAGAGTTTAAATGAGCAAATTAACTTTCTCTTCCTAAAAACCGTTACAAGGTTTTATAAGGTTTTATAACGGTTTTATTATCTCCTAAACCCCAAACAAACAACATTGGCTATGTAATTCTGACTGGGAAAGGCCAGGAATGATGTTTGGACTGCAGCACAGGTGAACAAGCGAGGGTTAGGCCTGGATGCCCAGGGCATCTGCGAAATCTCAGAGAGGCTCCAAGGGCTGCCGGCAGCCGTCCCTCGACAGCAGGGGGCCGCAATAGTGTTAGCACTGATTCTGCATCTAGCCTGGACATGAGACTTAGATACACATATAGCTGTGAACTAAATGGTCTTCCTCCTTCTTATATCCTAAAATCTATGAAAGGACTCTCCTTCTTGGATAACACCTAAATATCCACAGATACTGCCAACCCAACAGATCTAAAATTGACTTCATTGCCTTCTCCTTCCCAACCTGTACCTTATATTCTAGTCTCTTATATTCTTATATTCTAGTCTCATTCCCATTTAGTCAGTCATGGAAGCCAGAAATAAGCCTTTTTTTACTCATTAAAAAAAAAAGGATCGAAATTCAATTTAGAAAGGACAGTCTTTTTTCAACAAGTGGTGCTAGAACAACTGGATACCCACATTAAAAAAAAAAAAATGGACCACAGCCTAAATCTAAACTGTAGAACTGTAGAGCAATCTTCTACAACTTAACATAGAAGAAAATCTAGGTGACCTTGGGTTTGGCAACAGCCTTTTAGATGCAACACCAAAAGCAAGATCCATGAAAGAAAAAACATTTGTAAATGAGACTTAAAATTTACAACAAAGTTAAGAGAATGAAAAGACAAGTCACAATCTTTGCGAAAACACGACCTGATAAAGAGCGAGCATTCAAAGTATATAAATAAAAACTCAACAAGGAAAAAACACCCAGTTTTCAAATCTGTTCTGCACCAATTCATTCTAAAATCAATGCCTTTTCTTGGTGCGGTTCTGTCATGATGTCATGCTCACTTAAGTCCTCTGGGGCAGCTTCCTGTCGCCAGCAGCATTAATGCTTTCTATGCCCCTACTGATACTGCTCCGCCTCTCTCCTTTTCCAACTTATTTCCCCTACCTCTTAATACCCTGTGCTCACACCTATCACCAACTTGGAAAGAACATACCAGTTTCTACCACCACTCAGCCAGGAGCACACTTTCTCACCTGGAAAGTACCTATTCATCTGCAACTCAAGTCTTCACAGGCAAATCTCCCTCTGTGGCCAAGTCTCGGACCCTCCTCGGGCAGCTGAGTGCTGTCATCACTGTGCACGCAGCTATGAGTCACGGTGTGTTATCCATCTGTCTCTCCTATAGAAGCTTCTCAACAGCGAAGATAGTGCCTTTGTGGGTATTATCTACATCTGTCCCCAGCACTCAGTGATGTGCTTGCCACATAATGACTCAATAAAGGACATACGAACATCCGATTATGGGGTTCCCTTAGGAATTATCAACTGTAGTTAACATCATCCCAAAGTCCAAAAGAAAGCCAGTCGCCAATAATGAGCAACCTCAAACTCATTCAACCTTCCCCCCCCCCGATATAAATGTTGTATGCTTGAAAACTCAGCTTTGAATCGTACTAACCCTCTGCTTCATTTTCGCATCTCCCCTCTCCTCTCTCTGAGCACCCACAACTCCCCACTGCGTATCTAAGCAGTGGGAGAGCTGGGTTTGGGTGCAAAGTTGTTCCCAGAGAAGCTGTGCTTGATGTGGATACCTGCTGTCGCCAGGTAAGCAAGGTTAAGTCAGAAGAACATGCAGGCCAGGTAAGCAACTTGTGACAGACAATGGCACTTTAGTATGAGTCCTTGGAATTATCTAAGGGCATCAACAAGCTGCCCTCTGGGTGTGTCAGTGGACAACGAGAACTGTCTAAAATCTGAGACCCATAGGACTGCGATGTCAGTAAGGCTAAGAAAATCAAAAGGTTTGACGGGGGAAAGAGAGCATTATTAATCATCGGGGTTCTGATTCTGATTCACAACTTAAGCTGATTTATGAAGCTGAAGCAATGAGCAGTTTTTGAAAACACCATCAGCAATCTTTTCATCCGTGCCTGTTTCTAGACTAGGGGTGTGTGGTGGTGGACATGGTGTACTAATAACACTTGAAGGGAGAGCTTCTCTACACCCACACACAAATAACAGTGTAAACCAGGCCCATATTTCTGATCCTCAGACACTTTAAGATAATGAATATTGGTTTAGCTGCTAAGTTTATTTATTATGCAGCAATAGTTAGCTACTACGGCAATTTCTTCCATCTCTGTCAGGAAAGATCTGAAATCCACCCTTTATATAATGTATTATTCACTGGGCCCCAAGGTAAACATTCCAATAAAAACTGCTCTGGTTTATTTGCTAATTAAATACCATTTGCTCCTTTACCCTCTGATACATTATAATTTATTACGCTTCCTTCTAAGTTGCTGAAACATTTTCAGGCTTATTATATTGTTAAATAAGACTGGTCAGAAACCACTGGTGCTAAATGCCTCTTCTAGGATGAATAAAGTGGGAAATCAGAAGTGCCAGTACCTGCTTGGAGGCAAAGCCTTCTCTTCCAGGTGGAAATCGTGATTCATCCCAATCTCGTTGCTTAGTTTGGAATTGTTAACCGTGCCTTTCAAGCCTGTGGCAGAAAAAAAACTTATGATGGACAACAGTGAGTCCACACAAGTCCTAACAAGTCCACTGGACTGGGCCCACATTTAGTTTTTAATTCTGTTAAAAGATTTATTTTATTTATTTATGCATACAAGAACTGGGGTGCAGGCCAGAGGTATGGGGGGTGAGAGGATTCACCAGGGACAGAGTGGGGAGTAGAACAGGCAGATCGGCTGAGTACACTGCTGAGGGGAGCAGTGGAGGAGACAGGTCTGCTGTACCTTATGGGTCAGCTCCCTGGCCAGGGATCGAACTCATGCTGCAGTGGTTGCGGACAGCTTCATAGTGCTGAGACTTAATCCCTTGTGCCACCAGGGAGGCCTGTGGGCCCAAATTTAGATTCTTCACACTGATCTATACAAACTCATTCAATCATTCTCGTCATTGATGCTTTCTGAACTTTAGGTCCGTGATAGCGGCCTCAAAGTACAGTCCAGCATGGGGGCAAGGAGGCCAAAGAAGCTAGTTTATTGATGGGGGGAAAAGGTAAAACTGATTCAAAGCTTTTCTATCAAAAAGTAAAATAATAAAGCAGCAAAGAAATAATAATTTGTGACTTGTAAAAATAAATGTTTATCTAAGGATATGATTCCACTCTCTTCCTGCTTCTGGTGAAAGTTGATTCTCCATACAGATGGTACTGAAGGGTGCCAAGATAATTTGGTTTTCTAAAGCACTGGTTTCCAAATTTTAGGATTTCACGGACTAGTAAAAAGATTTTAACAACTTGTTATTGTTTTGTTTAGTGTAGACAGTGAAACAAGCAAATAAAAATTCTATTCTATCAGCACCAAAACCATCACCTCATAAAAGTCTAACTTCCAGAAAGAGCAGAAAGGGCATCCTGTCACAACACATAGGAAAAAGTCATCACACTATCCTAGTAATTTCGGTAAATATTGCCAGGCCTCTTGCGATAGGCCAGCACTCACATTTGGGAAGTACTGTTCTGAGTTCTCCATAGAGACCTGGTGCCTAGTGTTCTCCCTTACCAGCACATATGGCAGCTATGACGGTCCCTTAGTATATAAGATGTGCCACTGCTCAACAGTAAGCAGTGTCCTCACTTCTCTTTCAATGGAGCTTTTTAAAAAGTTTAGTTATGCACACAAAATTGAGGTACAGGCCAGAGGTGCAGGGCAGTGAGAAGATTCATCAGAGACAGAGTGGGGAGCAGAACAGGCAGAGTGACAAAGTACACTGCTGAGGGGAGCAGCAGGTGAGAGAGAAGTCTGCTGCGCCAAGTGGGTCACTTCTGTGGCGGGGATTGAACTCACACTGCAGCGGCTGTAGCTGGCTTGCAGTGCTGCATTTTACCCTGTTACACCACCAGGGAGGGCCCCCCATGAAGCTTCTTAATATTTCACAGAAAAGTATGTCTCCAAAATGTAGAAGAGATACCAGAATTAAGATTAGCCCTAAATTGATCTTGTTGAGAACCAGGTGATGAGTAAAAAGGGGTTCATTATTCCAGCCTCTTTGGTAAATGTTAACTTGGGAAGATTTAAAAATCTAACAGGGAAAAATAAAGTTTGTAGAAAATTTAACTAGGGACTGGGAAGTTAATCCACAGGCAAATGCCTTTGTCCATTCTCCTACGTATTAAAGAAAAAAATGTGAAGTAATTAAAAGAACCTCACTTTCAGTAAGAGGAAAAAAGCAAGAAAAAGAAAGCAACATGGCTGAATGTTTAAAATGTGGGTATTCATTGTATTATTATTATTTTTCTTTTTAATACCTTGTCTCAGTGCTTGAGGACAGACAGAACCACCAGCCTGGCACCAAAGACTTGTTACCCAGTGGGCCAGGGTCCTTTCCTTCTGCCTCCATACACTGGGTATTTTTTTTTTTAAACTTTTAGACAGATTTTAAATATTTCAAAATGAAAACTTAAGGGGAAAGTAACCATAGCATTTACCACAACCACTGAAGTCCTTGCTTGAGAAGACTTAAGGTGGACTGAACTTTAAGTGGACATTTGAAGATTCCTTTATTTTTTGCATCCTCTTTAGTCTTTAGTTCCAGCTAGTAAGTAAAAAATAGTCAAAAATGTAAATAGACCTGACCTCTGATTCACTAACATGAAATGAAAAAAGAAAACCTTCAAAGTGAGATGCAGCTATCCCAGTTTGTTGAAGGACTGAGTTGGAAATAGTACACACAAAAGCACAGTCTAACTAAGACAAATAAAAGCTCATAACCTGCTTTAACAAGATTGTTCTGTTGCTTAAAAGTAGCATAGCACTAGGCAACTCCAATAACTGTAAAAATCAGGAAAGGGAAGGGCTCAAATAGAAATTAGAGATAATGTACCTACATTCAATTTTTAAAATCCAGATCCCAAAGACAAATTTCCAAAGACAGTATAGTCATTTAAGCAAATAAACCTTATACATTTTTTTAAGGAAGGAATGTTTTGCCTTTGGAGTAACTTTAAAAGTCACGTCAAGAAACTTAAATTGTTTAAACTGTATTTTCAAAACTTTCACCCCACATCTGGTTCTTATCTATTGAGCCATTCATTCCAAAGTACCTAATTTACCCCTTTGGTGCCATTCTATTAACCAGCAGCGACCCCGCGTGGCTACAAGAAAAAACAAATGTAATCCAATTTAGCAGCAGGGTCTTGAACTAATTTTCTCCACTTCAATCTTCGAGAATTTAACATTTGTTACCTGTCTTCAGGTCTTCAAGTTGACAGCACGCTAAATTCTCTGAAGATTTACTATAGAACAGAAATGCAGGATGAGTTCCAGTGAAATTAAACCTACCGAGTTGGGAAGAGACCTGGCGCAGCAAGAGGAACACAAAAGAACATCTACTACAGGATAAAGCCAAATACCAGCCAGGGGCAGTAATACTTCTTGTGTCAAGGAAGAACACAGTGGGAGGACACAATTCCTATCTAGATCACTGGGGTATTTTAAACCTAGGCCAGGTATCAGCCTTAAATCTTAACAGGTTTCAAGTGATCACACATGAGTCACTTCTTTGGAAACAAAAACTCTTTGAAGACCTAAGGGGTCAATCATGGACCTAAGGCCTGTAAGCAGAGACCGGGCTCAGGGTAGGTAGAGATGGGCAAGCCAAAGAGGAAGAGATGTCAGGTAGGTGGAGATACACCCATGAGGCCGCGGGCCCCTAAAGGCGCTGGCCTGGGCAGTCCACCCTCTACAGCCTGATCCACACACTGAGCACCCCCGGCGGGGGTGGGGGTCATCGGCAATGGACCTACGGGAAGGGGGCTCCTCGGGGCTGCACTTGTCTTCCTGAGTCTGTTCCGACGTCGCGGGCTTACAGAATCCACTCTCCGCACCGCCAGGCTCCTTCGGGGGCACTTTCTCCTTGACATCCGGCATTTTGCTGATGGAACCTGAGGTGAGGGGACATGGCACGCCGTTGGCATGGGGGAAAGAGGCCCTCCAATAGCCGAGGGTGAGGGGTTAGGGGTCATCCCACCTGACCCGAGCAAACCAAGGAAAAGGTGGGCAGCCTCGGGGATCATGGAGACCAGACTGGGGCAGCGAAACGGGGGTGGGAAATCGGACATAGGTGAAACGCGGGGTGAGCGACAGGGCAGCGCGGGGGTAGAGGCCAGGACGCCAGGTGGGCCTCATGGGGGCCAGTCCTTGACCTCCTCGCCCCAAAAGCCAGCTCAGGCCGCTAGGCGCCACCTGGGCGCTCAGGTTACCCACCTCACCTTTGCCTCCCCAGCGATGGGCTGCCCTTTCTGGAATAGTCCTGGCAGCTCTCGCGAGGTCTCTGGAGGCAGATGGTACCACCGCGGCAGGGGAGGTCAGGAGGGGGTGGCTGGGCTGCTATGCTGAGGCGACAAGCCCCACCCGCGCGCACCCCCCTCGCTGAGCGGGAGCTCGAGGTGGGAGAGTCCAAGGCTGGGAAACAAACCGCCTGGGGTCTCCCGGGCAACAGGCTGTGGGTGTCTGGAGGGGCCCAGCCTGGCCATGGCCCCGCGGAAGCCGCTGGCTCGTGCCTCTGGCGTCGTGGGCACGAAGCCCCTCAGGCCTCTGGTTATGTGGCTGCTGGCATCTGGTCCTCATTTATTATCTCCTTTACCACCACCCCGCCCCAGACCCCAAAGAAAAAGCTCACCTGGAACTACTTAGGAAGGGAAGGAGCATTGCGTTTTGTTTCTCTTGGGCCTGTCCAGACAGCCAGAACACAAACCCACACCCCCAGGGTGGTTACTTGCGCGCTTCCTGGGAACTTGGTGAGAGAAAGTGGCGGGAGGACAGCTCTCCCTCAGCAGGTGTGCAAACTGAGAAACCTTGCCAGGCCAGGAGCTGTGAGGCTCCACTCACAGAACTCCTGGGCTGGGGCTCATCTGTGACCCATGCATCTGGCCCCTGTCATGGACCTTTCTTGATTGGGGGTTTAGGGGGGAGAATCAGCTCTGTTGCCCCTCGAGTGATGTGAGAATCTGGAGAAACAGCATTCCCTTCCATTTCCTGCATTTTGAGAGAAAAAGTGAAGTTTTCCCTTTCCCTTCCATCTTCTCCCATTCCTCACTACTACTCTGACGTGATCTCTTACCACAAAAACACACAGAAGTATTGCCTGTAAGAAACTTAAGTTCTGCTAACCCTGGCCTTGTTAGTGTAGAATGTGGATTTTTCTTGCACAACTCGCACATTTTCTAGGGGAAAATTATGTAGAGCCTAAAGAGACCCAAGAACATTTCTGCTTAAGAAAGTCCATTCCACTCTGCGGCCCCAGCAGATATGAGGGGAACAGCCTAGTTAGAGTTACTGTTTAACCAGAGAGTATTTCAAACCAGCGTATTCTAAACCTACTCTTTCCTTCTCCTCACCCTTTTCTGGTATTTCCCTCAGGTATGTCAACTGTAATGGAGGTGGGCTTCACTCCAAATCCAGGGCAAGTTGTATGGTGACATCAGCAAAGAGTTCAATGAAAATATGATTCTTCATTATTACATAGAGCAATATTTAGGCAGGCTGTTGATTTCCCTTTTTAAAAAATTCCAGTCTTCTATTTGGGCATTTTTATTCCTGGGAGAAAGTTTCCAGAATGACACCAGTTCATTCCTCCCTCCACCACTGCACACAGAAAACATTGCCATAAAACTCTCGCTGCTGAAGCCTGAAATTACTCTAGCCGTTCATACATATACATCAAACAGTCTCCTTGTTTTATAAAAGAACTCTTTAAGTGTCCTCTACCCAAATTCTCTGGAAGGTGCAGTAGGAAGAAGTAACTGTGGAAGCACCTGGTGGAGGTAGAGGGGACTGAATTCAGAAGAGGAGCAGATGGGGGCAGGAGAGAAGGCAGAATTAATTTTCCCAGGGTCAGTCTGTGGACAACATTTCACAATCTTTATCATTAATAGTTATCAGAACCAACGGGATAAAAGTTAGAGCATGAGTGTAACAGAAAGATGACAAAGATATATATGGTCTCCTTTCCTTTGGTTCTTAGTTAACAATCACTAAGATTGTTTAATGATTTACAAAATGCTTTTACATTGCATCCATATACTCTGCATAATCCTTTCTTCTTGTCCAGTAGGCAAGGCAGGTGTGATATTGGGTCATTTCATGGAACAATAAAGTGAGGATCAGAGAGATTTCAGGAGTTGCCAAAAGTCATTTGGCAAGCAAAGTTGACTTTAATAATAATAATAATAGTTTACCCTTTTAATTATGATAACATTAGGATCCTCTCCATCACATATCACCACCATAGGGTAACTGCCACAAAATACTTTTTTTAAAAAGATGTATGTATTTATGTATACAGAACTGGGGTACAGGCCAGAGGTAGGGGGAGTGAGAGGATCCACCAGAGAGAGAGTAGAGAGCAGAACAGGCAGACATATTGAAATTCACTGCTAAGGGGAGCAGCGGGCAGATCAGGAGAGGTCTGCCATGCCATGTGGGTCAGCTCCCTGGCTGGGATTGGAACTCTTGCTGCAGTGGCTGTGATAGCTTCACCTAGCTGTGCTTTAACCCATTGCACCACCAGGGAGAGCCCCAAATACTTTTTCTTTATTAATACCAACTCCTTGAGTCTGACTGAGAAACTGTATAAACAAGAAGATATAACTAACTTTTAATGGTGTGGTAAGTGCCAGAGTTGAGGGTGCACACAAGATGTACCCTAGGGAATCTGAGAAAGGGTGAGAGAACTTCCAGATGTTTGGATCAGTTCAAACCCAGCCTTTAGCCAGATTCCTAAGCAAGATTATGTAACTGATCTGGTCTTCGGAAATGGGTCTCTTGTTCGGCTTGGGTCCCCTTCGACCTCAGGACCGTCTTTAAACTCTCCTAATGGGGACAATTGGATTTTCCACATATGTCCACTATTTAGCCAGAACGCCCCTCCGGAGTAACATAACACCTTTGCTTATTGAAATACACATATCTCAAAATGCCCCTAAGGCAAGTATTTCTCAAGCAACCCAAGGACAGAAGTAAAAGTCCTGTTTTCTCTTCATAGCAGTGTGCCCAAAGCGTCCCATCCCATGGCTTCCCTTTCATATTAAGATAACTTTTATCTTCTATTCATTCTATGTATGTTTGTTTTAAACTTAAAATAGTCTATTTGCTCTCCTCAAATCTTTGAGTAGAAATCTTGTTCCGAGGGAAGGGCTTCCTGGTCTCACTGGCATACCTCTCTAACTCCTGTGAGTGCATACACCCCAGTTTGAGAAACAATCTAAAGGAATTTTAGGCCTGCAACTAGAATTTTCCTATTTCTCAACCACTATTCCATAGATATGAGCTTTAACCCAAACCCAGTAGTATGTTCCAGTCTCATTTGTTAAATACTATCTTGGGTACACTACCCCACAAAAATAAGTTATATAGAAAGTCCTAGCCACAAAGACATTCTGCAAGAGGCAGTGGAGAAAGACAAAGATGTAAAAGAAATACTGCCAGGTGACTGTCAGAGGCACAGAACCATAGAATTTAACTGGAATCCTGAATTTGGATCTTCTAGCTAAAACAAAACAAAACAACAACAAAAAAACCTCCTCTACACAAAGCATCTTAGGCTGGGTGAGGTTAAATGACTTGGCTAAGGTCATCACCGGTTTATGGAAAATTTAGGCCTAGAACTGTATCACAGTATGTTTACTCCATAATATATAGAGCTAAGCAAGAGTAAAAGCTAATACTATAAATAAATATTTACATTTCCTAAAGAAAAATGTAAATGATAGGCCATGGGATGGAAAAAGTAAGAAATGAAGTTAAATAGACGCCAAGACTGCAAGTGGAGTAGAGTATGCTGGAAGATAAACAGCTAACTTAAGTGGTAGGGACGCGTAAATACAGGGTGGGACATTTAAATGGAACCATTTGGAGTCGTGTAAACCAGGCCTGAATTCATTATAGCCTCCCTTATGGTACAGAACCACACGTCAAAACTATTTGCTTTAGTCTTTTGACAAATGTGTTTTTTGTTGTTGTTGTTTTTTTTTTTTTCTTCTTCACAAAACCCAAGAGGAGTGTGTGAAGGGTTGAGGTAATCTGGGGGCAGTCTGGATGGAGCCCTTTGAAGCTCAAAGTGAAGTTTGATGGGTGGGGAAAACATTACAAATTTTTAAGGAAAGGGGGTCTCAAAGAGACGACAAAGAAGTTCCTAGCAGTGACATGTACTGGACCCAGAGATACACTTTTCCTGACTCTTTAGGTATATGGGGGAACAGCCGCACCTCTGTCCACTAACAATACTTAACACACCATGTCCTTCCTGGGGGTCACTGCACGTGCTGTCTCTTCTGCCTCGATGCTTCTCCCCCCTGCAATCTCCTTTCACCTCAGTCACTCCCCCTCATTCTTCAGGTCTAGCTTATAAGACCTAACTTCCTCCAGAACTTTCTGGCCCCCCATCTCCCCTTAGCTTCATCTCAATACCCTCTATTTTTTCCTCAAAGCACTTACTACAGTTTGTGATTCTATCAATACATTTGTTTGTTTAATTAACCTTTGCTGAACCTCCATGAGACTAAGCTTCTTGAGAGCAGGGACTGTGTGCATTTCATTCACCACTGAGCCTGGGCACAGAGAGTGAAGAATCGGTCACTATAGAATGAGCTGATGGACACTGCATGGACACTGCAGGAAGGCTGCAGGGCTGGAGAAGTGACAGAAACAGAGCCCTGAGTCCCCCACCCCCAACTTAAGGAGTCAAGCAGTGTGTCTCTGGGGCCAGCTTTATTAACCAGTGTCTGCCTTTCTCTTTTTGTCACATATACTAGATTTCTCTCTTTTTCACTCTGTCCTTAGCTTCCTGTGGGCCCTTTAAACCAGCAAAGGACATTCAGGCATTCAGGGTCCAGTGACAGGGGTGGGGCCCCTGAACCAGAAGGTGGCAG